AAACTTGAAGCGGCTGAAAAGAAATAAGAAATGGTGGACCTTGAAAATGATTCAGGTTTTTCTCATTGCGAAGAATATAGTCAAACACTGTTGCAGTTAAATATTTTACCCTTTGTTCTCCCTGTGTGACCTACAATAATAATCTGCTTCATGTTGCTGTTTACTGCTGTGTTGCTGACAATTACCTGAAAGAGAAGTTAGGGTGCTTCACTGGGCTGGAAAAGTTTAGCTACATCAGAAAGCAGGTCTAATTAAGCAAGTTTACTCTGTATCTATAAAAGGCTAAGTTGACTCACACATGCATGATGCATATAAAGCTCTAGCCAGTCACACATGCATGTTTCGATCTTTCATTGTTGATCATGAATTTGGTTGACACTCTTTTTAGAGAAAGGGCAAAAAACAATATTAAATTATTTATTCTAATTAATTTTCTTTCTATGTGCATGAATTTGTGCACTGGGCCACTACTTAAATCATAAAAGGGTATCTCGCTTTTACTTGACTTTAATTTGTTTCTCTTTGATTACTAATGAATTTCTTCTTGTAAATGTGTTCTTGAAATGTCCACCTTTTTCTCAGTGACCTCCAGGCACTCTTATCTTCCACTAGATGATGCCCTGCCCTTGCCCTGGGGAGTCTGGAAATGGAGGAAACTCTGCTTCTAGATGGCGGGGCCCCATGAAGGAGGCCTCCCCACACCACTTCTCATCCTGTTTATCTCAGTGGAATGTTCTTCAGCAGGAAAGCCATTGCTGTCCTCGGAGACCTAAAGGCAGATCTGTTAGTGGTACTATTTTACAGAGAAAAGAACCGAGCTACAGTGGGAATATAGAATACCTTCTCTCTCTGTCTAGTCATTGCCCTGGCTTCGCTGGACCCCCTAGCCCGCCACATGGCTGGGGTCTTTCCACCGCACACATTTCTGGGACAATGTAAAAGGGGAAAAAATAAAATTTAAAAAGTCAACCCATGTTCCATGTGGACAATAATCCAGCCTCAGGAGTGTGTGCCCGCATCAAGGATGTGCCGTGGGTGGGCGGGTGCGTTTGCAGTCTGCGTGCTGGCGGTCTTCAAGCCTTTCTCTCGCGTCACCTGTAAGCAGTTCTGAGCGAGATGCTTCCAGGATGAACAAGGCAGCAGGAAGGCTGTGCCCTGCACCCCACCCCCCACCCCGCACGCTCTGTGTGCTGCAGCCCTGCAAGCTCTCAGCGCCATTTGAGCGCATTAAGCAGCCAGCTCTCTGGTGACATAGCAATTAGGGCTCGGAAATAGATTTGGTGCGTCACGGAGGATAAGGGTTTTGAAAGTTTCTGTTGTGATTATAGCTTGTACCTCCCACAAATAATAGGCTTCAAAATAAGAGGCTGCCAGCGCGGCCTTTGTGGCTTTGTCTCGGTGGTGGCATGTAAGTTGCTATTACTGTCCTCGGTGTACTTGAATGTGCCAGTCTCTGGGTGTGGAGTTGGCTCCGTCTCTCTGCGGCATGTCACTGCGGGTCTGGTTATCTGGGTGATGGCCGTGTGGACGGCAGACGAGGGAGAGGGGCTTCAGCTTCTGCGTGATGGTCAGTGGCTTTGAGGTGTCCGTCCCCCCCACCCCCCCGTGGTGTGCATGCTCCGTGGAGTGTGTGCGTTAGCCTCTCTGTGCACCGTGAGGAAAAGCTATCTTTCAACAAAGAAAAGCAAAATCAGAGGTTATACCAACAAAACGAGGAACTGGCGCGGTATAGAGTCAGCCCATCAGATCATTTATACGGAGAGACAAAACACCCTCTGCTTGAATTATCCAGATTTGGCTATATGAGTAAACATAATAGTCTCTTACAGCCTTTTTCCTGCAGCGCGCGTGTGTGTGTGTGTGTATGTGTGTGTGTGTGTGTGTGTGTTCTGAATGTGTGCTCAGTCTATGAGAATACATGCATTGTGTGTTCTGCACACTGTGCTGATGTGTGTAAAGAGACGTGTCTGGGGTTTTGCAGATCTGAGTAGGAGGGTTTCTATTCAGATAGAAATAATTTTCTGCCCCAATACACCTCTATTTAGCTCAGGCAAACTGAGTTTTGTTTTTCTCTGAAAAGTTAAATCGTAAGTTTTAGCTTCCTGTGTATACATCAAACCTGCGGAGTCCCCAGGTCTGCAGGATGTGGAAACGTTATGTCTAACAGTCACATTTGCACTTTTAATACAAATAGGAAAGCACCTGGCTCTAAAGCTGGGAACTGCACTGCGTGAGGGGACAGCCTCAACCAGCCCTCCTATGTCCAAGTGCCTCACACGGTGGCATGAATGCTGGGTGTTCGAAACAAGTGAAACAGAAAAGAATGCCGAAGAGAAGGTGCCAGGGTAGATCTTGATCCCAGAGCCCACTGACAGGTGCCCCTCAGTTCCCTGGCACTGGGTGCTGGCAGGATGGTGCGGGGTGGGCACAGGGCAGGAAGGGTTGTGTCTGGATTGTGACAGGGCACCCTAGATGGCAGTGAGAGTGCATGGCACAGAAGTGACTTGTAACAAGAGAGGTCACGTGTCACCAATGGACATAGGGCAGGTTGACCGCCTTACTGTACAGTCTCAGCCAGGACCCCGTGGTGCAGTGTAACATAGGCCGAGCTGACCAGCAGGGTGGTCCTGCACAGGGTGGCATATCAGGAGGTAAGCCTGGGTGTATGTGTTTTAGTGCAGGCTATCAAGGCTCTGTCTCGGCGTTTCCTGGGTGTACATGGCCAAGTACAGGTGGCCAGGCTCTGTCTCGGCGTTTCCTGGGTGTACATGGCCAAGTACAGGCGGCCAGGCTCTGTCTCGGCGTTTCCTGGGTGTACATGGCCAAGTACAGGCGGCCAGGCTGCCTCGGCTGTTTCCTAGGTGTGCAGGGCTTGGTGTAAATGGTCATGGAGGTCACTGACCTGAGACCACATCTCTCTCCACAACCAGGGCCACAACATGTCCCCTCACGGACATTGTCTGACACCTGTGAGGTGAGGCACTGGTAGGCAGCTTGGAATTGGCCAGAGCCCCACAGTGGTGCTCATGGTTGGTCTGGTGGGTGACGTGGAAGTGGGTGAGGACAGGGCTGCCCCCAGGTGACTAAACTAGGGGCACATGGGACACGTGCGCCCCTCAAGGTTGGAGACGGCAGGTGTGGGTGGGGGGGACTGGGGGAATGGCTCGCCTCTGTGGGAACCCCTGAGCAGAGGAGTAGCGGGAGGGGGTGTGGGAGCATCAGCCACGAGCATTGAGCCGGCAGGAAGCCCAGGCCTGAGGAGGACACGGACCCTCCGCTCAAGCCACTGAAGGTGGGGGAGGGGAGGGTTGGAGGTCAGACTACATTTTTAAAGGTCACAGCTCGAGATGGGACTGCAGTGGCCAGGCTGAAATTTCCCAGGGAGCATCCTGGCAACCAGAGCAGCTCTTGGAAAGCACTCCCTGTGAAACGCTGGAAAACTGCCTGCCGGGGAACCTGGTGGGAAATGGCGGCTCTGGCTGTGACCGCCCTGGTGAGCGTGTGGGTGTCGTGCGTATCACGGGGCGGGTGCCTCTGTGTTTCCCTCCCTGGCCGGAGCTCTCCGCCAGCCAGGCCCGGGCTGGGCTGCGGGCATCTGGCTGTGTGCAGGCCGAGCTCCTAGCGTGCTGACGTCAGCCTCTTTGTGGCGCCTCAGCGGAGTTCTGGGTTGCAAATGAGAGTTTCTTAGTGCCCAGCTCACTTACATTGTCACATTCGGTGATGAATTCTCTGCATCAACCCTGTGCCACAAAGGTGAGTCAGAGGAAGGAGGGAAGGGTGGGCCGGGCCTCAGCCTAGCCAGCACTGCTCTGGGCTCAAAGCCAGCTGCATGTATAGCTCGGGACCCAGGCAGGCAGCCCCGGGGCCAGCTCCAAGCAGGTGGCAGAAGGGGGATCCGTGCTGAAACCTTTGGTTCCCAAAACCGTGGCTGTTGTGAAAGCCTAGTTTTCTGGTCTAGGAAACGTGTCCAGATTGGCTCTTCTGTGATGGCGGGGACCTCCCCTCACGCTGCGGGGAGGAGGTGTCCCCCTCCCCCGCTCAAATGCCGTAGTCACCCCTGCCCCGTGGGCCCAGGTGTTCCAGGAGCGCCAGGCCTGTCTGGGCCTTAGTCACGTGTTGGGAGCAGAGGGCTGTTACCGGGGAGGGAATGCAATCACTGCCTTTCGCACTCACACTGTCGCTGCACCATCTGTGGGCAAAGGAGGGCGGGGTCGTGATGTCACGGCCGCAGCACCTCCGGCCTGGGCTGTCGGGTCCTGTGGGAACAGTGCTGCTGTTGGGATGCTCTGGACTGAGTGTTGGAAAAGGATGTGCAAGTGGAGACCAGGCGTCGGCTCCCGGCTCAGCCCCTCGAGGCACTTCCCCCAGGCCAGGCCAGGCTCTGCGGCAGCGCCCCTTCTCCTGGGTCACCCTGGGCACCCTCCATGGAGCTCCTGATGCTCCCACCAGACGGGGTTCGCCTTCGTGGAACCTCGCTCGCAGCCGGGCTGTGCTTGCGGAGGTCCCGCCTTGAGCCACAGTTCACCTGGGTGTGCCCAGTGCCCCGCTGAGGACAGGAGCGCCCCGCCATTGGCATGTGCCGAGGCGCCTGGGACCCGGATTTAGGGAGCTCCGAGCTGGAAGGGCCCTTCGGAGGCAGTTGGGCACCTTTTTGTGTTTCTCAGGGGAACTCCAGGCCAAGGGGTAGGAGTGCCCACCAGAGCCAGCCCGGGACTCGGGCCCCTGGACCTTCAGGGCAGGCGGCCTCACCTGACGGGGTGGGGGGGGGGGGTGACACACACACACACACACACACACACACACACGACTCTGTGTCACTGGCACAGGGGGGGCCCAGTCACTGAGGGAGAGGGGGAGCAGCCACAAGAACAGCCTGCCGTCGAGTGCCCCCTGCAGGCCCTCAGCTGCCTCCTCACAGCTCCTCCTGTCATCGTCACCGTCAGTCATCCTGTGCTCCCACCGCCCTCGCAGGCCTGACTTCTCTCCTTCTTCCCTTCCAGGCTAATGGAGGTTGGCAGGATGCGACTACCCCCTCATCAGTGACGTCCCCTACAGAAGGCCCTGGCAGCGTCCACTCCGACACCTCCAACTGACCTCCCCACACGCCATCCCCGCTGCCCTGCGCCCGGAGGGCGGGGCCGGAGGGAGTCTCCCACGCTGAAGCGGTCAGACCGGAGGCGCAGCGATCAGCAGCCACCACGAGCTCCTCTCTCTCCTCCCGGGATGCCCCTCCGGCCAATCCGGACACTTCTTTATACTCTGTCCCCTTTTCTGGGTAGAAGCCAGCCTTCCAGCCAGCAGCGTCAGCCTGTGCCCTCACCACCCCCCCTGCCCTCCACTCCCTGGGCCCTGCCCTCTACATGTCACTGAAGGGTACTTTCAACCATTAGAGGGATTTCAAGAGAAAAAATGCAAAGAAAACAATAAAAGCATTTGTATGTTTTCACTCTGGTGGTATGAGGAGCCACGTTACCTCATGGAGCCCATGCCCAGCACCCTGTCTCCCTCACTCACTACCTCTGGCAGGAACCACCCGCTGCCTCCCTCCCGGCTCCCCTGGGTCCTGCCACAGCCAGCTCTGAGGGTGCTCTGTCCTGGGTTCAGCTCCGCCAGGTCGATGCCAGGCAGGCAGTCAGTGCAGGAGGGGTACAGCCTGAGAGGCAGCATCCCGGCTGCTCGTTGTCCTCGGACAGCTCCTGGTTCAGAGTCAGATGTGGGGGCAGGACGCTGGAAGCCAGGTGTGGGTCAGCACAGTGCCAAATCATCACAGAGGAAGGCAGTTCTCTCCTGAGCCCTCCCCACACATGCATGTGTGCACATACCTGTAGGCACATGCACCACCCCATGATCAGCCACATGTCTCATACAGATGCCTACATTAGCAACCATGTCATCCTCCTTGTGAGCCCAGGAGAGGAACTCTGTGAAGGACACAGGCCAGCAGCCCACATGGTCTAGGACCGGGGGCCCCAGCATGCACCCACATGCACACACACACATGCACCCAGGCACGCATGCATGCATGCCAGAACCACCCCCACAGGGCAGGCCGGCTCCCAGGGTCCTGCTCTGCTGGCTCCACCTGAGCCAGAGGTGCGGGCACTTGTGCAATGGAGTGCTCTGTCCTGTTTTGTCCGGGCGCCGGAGACATGTCGTGACCTGTCCAGTTCTGTGTGCTGCATCTGGGTCTGGAGGACGCGGTGGCGTGAGCGCTTGGCTTGTTACCTGTGTGCTGGCTTGTCCAGGACCTGTGAGTGACAGAGACGGAGGTCACGGTCTCCCATGGGCATGCCCAGAGAGACGCGCAGGGAAGCTGTTCCATGTGGCTTGTCGAGGGCGCGGTGCGCGGTGCTCGGCTCTCGGGGCCTCGCTCCCGGATCTGTGATGGGCAGACGGTTTGGCCGGGCTTGTGGGACAGGACGTGGGGTCCTTGTCCCTGAGATGCAGGCGAGGTCGGGAGCAGCGTCTGAGAGAAATGCTCAGGTCAGGCGGGCACGGCTTTCCGGTCTAAGATCTGTCACATGGGACCTGCCGTCACCGCCACCGTGATGGCAAAGGGAGGGGTCGTGGCTGTTGCTTGTTTGGTTGTTCTGGTCTGTTCGGTTTCTTAGAATAGCGATAACCTCCCAAACCAGAAACACCGGGCCTGGCTCTCAGCTGGTGCTTGAATCTAAGGTGGGCCTTGGCGCGGCCCAGGCCCCACTGACCACCAGCTGGAGGTGTGGCCCTGCGGGCAGCTCTGCGTGACGCGGCCCAGTGGGCAGAAACGCTCCCGCATGGCCACTGGGCATGTGTGTTGGAGGGGAGAACACATGGTGCTGGGATTGTGTGATGAGGAGCATGAGAAAGCCACGTTGGGCCCGGGCCCCTAAGCCGTCACCAGGTCGGGCTCCACGCAGGGTGCCGAGGCAGGGACGCGGACGCAGGCCGGGAATACCAGGAGCACCTCGCAGACGCCTGGCCTGGGGTGCAGGTTCTCCTGGAGCCGCAGGAAGGCGGGTTTGGGTGGCAGGGTTTCCATTTTGGGTCAGCAGAAAGGGGAGCAGAGCGTGGCACCCGCCCCGTGGCAGCGCACTCACTGTACCGTCCCCTCCCTCCCCGGCCACGCTCACATCCAGTGTGGCTCCATGTAGGCTCTCATGTTCAGTGAAATGTGAGGAGAGTGGTGGGCACTGGGCCTGTGGCAGCAGTGCCCTGGGGGCTCCTCCTTCAATCCCATCTCCCTCCCCCCCATGTGCTGGGGACATGGGAGCCAGTGTCCTGGCCGCGGCGTCCCCTGGGATTTGCCCCCTGTAACGGCTCATCGCCCCCTTGCCGACCCTCCTCCCTGGGTGGGGTGGACCCCGCACACGCTTCTCCCTGGTGGCACCTTCGTGACATGGTTTTATTTGGCTGCTGGTTGCCTTTTCTCTCCCTTCCCCACCCCCCTTTCCTTCGGAGTTTTATTTTTCTGCCCAGAAAAACCTGACTTCGATACCAAAAAAAAAGATAAAACTACAGAAACTCAAATTTAAAGAAAACTTTTTAAAAAGATACTCAACAATCCTCTCAGCTTTATTAACATTTTCCATTGTTTCTTGCGACTCGTGTCTTGTTCTTTGTAGTACTGATGACGAACATTTGATAATGAATGTTCTTGTATATTCAGATAAAGGGAAAAAAAAAACCAAAAACGCGGTCTGGATTTAAAAGTGTTTATAATAAAGGTTTTAAAAATGACCCTCGCAGCACGAAAAGCAGGACGGGGTCGCCTCCGCGCCCACGCCCTCATCGCCACGTTTGTTTCCACACGGAACGACCCCCATTGGCCACGCCCCCATTGCTTTTCTTTTCCTGCATTTGTGGATTAGTTCAAGAATGCTAGACAAGTGTCGAGTTGTGCACACCCATTTCCTGTTCCACGATGTTTAAAGTGACCGTAATTCATTTTGTAAACTAAAAAAAAGGAAAAAAAGGAAAAAAAAAAAGTTGGGATAGTGAGCATCATAGAGGTACAACCTAACACATTATTATGTTTCTTAACTTTGAGACCCAGAAATGAATTCTTTTCCCCCCTTTATTCTTGAAAATATAACAACAACAAAAAAGGATGATGCTTTGTTTTGTGTTATTTTTGGTTTGTTAATGGGGTGCTTTTTTTAATCGTCAGGACTGTGGTCTTGCTGTGTTTATTCCTCACACATGTACCAAGGCGATGTGAAAGGCGGCAGCCGCGCTGAGGCTGTTTCTCGCTGCTTCGGTTTTGTCTGAGAATCGAGCTGGCGTCACGGATCAGGCCCCGGTGGGCGCCTGGTGGCTCCCTGCGCCCCCCTGCGCCCGGAGTGTGTGCACCGGCCAGCTCTGAGGAAGGTCAGGGCTCCGTTCTCCTCCCTTGCCTTGAAAGGAGCAGTTCTTGCCTTATTGTGTGAGTGCCAAGGAGCGGCTCTCTTTCCTTCACCCTGAGGAGGGAGCTGGGGTGGCCAGGATGCCTCCTCCCGCAGAAGCTTCCCGGCTGCTGGGATGGCACTGGCTGGGCACCGGGATGGGCTGGGGGCCCTAATTTGGGTCAGGGTCCCGGGTGTTATTCTCACACAGCCTTCTGGGTGCTGTTATTGGTCCGGAGAAAAGAGGCGGTGACACCAGGAAGGAGCTCTCTTTTCACCTCTGTCATTTAACAAAGGCCCGAGGGTCCGAGAGCAGCCAGCACCCAGGCCTCTCGGCTCTCCTCGAGGACTGGAGAAGCAGCCGGCAGCGGCGCTTTCTTATGGTTCCACCCAAACCGCCCGCTTCTTTGAAGTCACAGCCGAACAGCAGCACGCTTTTCACATCGCCTTGATGGTTTCGATCCCTCGCGCAAAGCTTTCTGGAATCTTATTTTTTGTAACCTCTTTGTTTTGTTTTGTTTTGTTTTGCCTTTTGTTAAAATAAGTGAAACATTCAACGTTTTCCCCTTTTCTCGCTTACTCCTCCCCTTCCCCTGGGCGCTTCCAGTTATTTTGAAGTGTTCCCCTCGGCCGCTGGTTTATCTCTGCTCCCTCCCTGCTCTTATACTCAGAGTGTAACCCTGAAGCTCTGCCCTGTTTGGTTTGAAAGTTAAGCTTTTCTGCTTCTGCGAGCACCGGCTTCGTTCCTTTGATCGACGGAAGCTCTGTGTTCTCAATGATGATACTAACACGGTGTAGATTTTACAGTCTCCTAATTTGTACTGGTAATGCATATTCCAAATAAATAGTTTCTTTTGTTGCAAAAAATACGCCTGTGTGTGGTGTAACTGTTCTCTTCCACGCGGCCCTGGTCTTCCCCCTAGGAGGGCGGGTTCTTTGGACTGTGGCCGTCACCCTGATCATCCTACAGCCCCGTGGGTGGCCGTGGGGTGGAGGACTCGGCCATGGACGTCACCCAGGAAGGGACGGATTTTTTACCCTCACCTGAGGATGCTGTTTGTTGATTTGAGAGAGAGAAAGAGAAACATCATGAAACATCCATCAGCTGCCTCCTGCACGCCCCCAACTGGGCATTGAGCCTGAAACCTAGGCATGTGCCCTGACCGGGAATTGAACCGGCGACCTTTCAGTGCATGGGAAGGTGCCCAACCCACTGAGCCACCCCGGCCAGGGGGAAGGGAGGACCTCGTATGGGAAAAGAAGCCCTGTTGCAGGTGGCAGAGCGCCCCATCTTGCCTGCTTGTCTGGGGCTGGTGCGCCCCTTCCCCCAACACCAGCTACAGGTCTAGGCGGGTGTTTGAGCAAAGTTTAAGCCTGTGAGTCAGCTCTCTGCAGGCAACTCCGATTCCCTTCTCTTTGTGATTTGGCCCCAGGAAAATCGTGGGATCCAAGAGATGTCCCCAGAGAACGGACCGAGGTTGGAGGGCTCAGCCCTCAGAAGCAGGGGAGCCGTGCCCCATCCGCACAGCTCCCTGCGTTGTGTCTGCTCCCACGCAGTGCCTCTCCCCTCTCCCCCCCCCCCCCCCGCCGCAGCCCTGAGCCCCAACTTTTGGGGTCAGGGTCTGTTAGCAGTGGTGTCCGGTGTCCCGGCTGGGACAGCACTCAGCCCGCAGCACCCAGGGGTGGTGGGATTGATGCTCTGGCGGCCACCTGTGCCCCTGGCACCCCCTGCATTGTGTCCAGGCTCCGCCCAGGGCCAGGGAGGCCTGTGTGTACTGAGTGTCCCCAGCACCCTCTTCCCTCATCACCGTTTGACTAGAATCAACAGAAAACAGGGAGGAAGGGAGAATCAGAGTGGATGGGATCACATTCCCGTTTTTGTGAAGGCCAGTCTGAGGGCTCTGTGGCCTCAGAGTGTGAGTCCGCCCGCGAATGCTGGTGATGAGGACATGGCCGGCGTGAGGACAGAGGCCTCGGCCACCTTTTCCGACCCAAACATTGGGGCACGGGGTCCGGTGTGCAGGGCAGCTTCCGGCCATCTCCCACCTCAGCTGCCCTGCTTCGTGGCCCTACTCACCCAGCTCACCAATAGAGTGACCCCTGACCTGTCACAGCAAGAGGCAGAGGCACAGTGTGTCCAGAGCAGGACTCCAGTGTGTCACTGGGAGCCGGAGCCACGCTCGGTGCTGGTCTCCTGTCCAGGCGGTGCCTCAGGGATCCGCTCCTCCTGCTGTGCCCGCCCACAGGCGTGTGCCCTCCTCCCCCCGGGGCCCAGAGGGGACAGGAGTGATGGCTCACCTCTCCTTCTTCTCACCTCCTAAATGCCCTGGCGGGCGGTCTGGCTGGGCAGCCCCTCCCTGGCACTCCCCACACGTGGACATTCTGAACAGCGGCCACCTGTCATGCTTCGTGGCCAAAGAGAAGAAGCAAGAGCAGAAGACAAGCCCAATTGGCCCCCGCACGGACCCACAGGAAAGTGTGGTCCCTTCCCGGCGGCTCCCTGGCTCTCAGCGGGGAAGGTCCGGAAAGGGGGTGGCCCAGGCCCAGCCTGTCCGCCCAACACTCTCCCTCCCCCCAACATGCACTAATGGGGGTGCTGTCCAAACTCGGGGCTCAGCACCCGCCTGTGGTCCATGGTGGTACTGTCCACCTCGGGCGGTCACTCCACGGGTTAATCGCTGCCTGGAGAGCTGAGCTCCAAGGCTTAAACGCACAAAATCTGAGGTGCTCCCCACCGTGACGCCTGCCCGCCGTCCTCGGGGTGCTCCTCGCCTCCCCACTGCAGGGGGGACAGAGAGCCAGACGGTCAGAAAAGTTACGGGGGGAGAAAGAAGGTGGATGGCGCAGACCAGTAGCCTCTTGTGCAGCTTGGTCAGGACCTGGCTGTCCCCGAGTGAGCCTGGCGGCCTGGAGGACCCAAGGCCGAAGAGTGACATCACGCCATTTAAGTTTCTCACGTGACACTGGCAACAGAAGCCCGCCTGGAAGCAGGGAGTCTGTTAGAAGGTGACCTTGGTGCTTGGAGCCGATGGCGGCGTGGAGCAGAGAGGCCGTGCAGCTCCTCCTCAGGCTGCCTCTGCCCCCCACCCCGGTCCTGCGATGCCTCTCCCGGCCGAACGCCTCCCGTGCCAGGGCCCCCTGCCCACGTCGCCCATTCTGTTTACGCGCCAGGTGCGTCCCAACTCCTCGCTTCCTTCTGCTTCTGGTCTAACATGTGGGTTCAGTGGGGTCACTTGATGGGACTGGAAGGGGTACAAGTGTCACTCACTGTGAATCAAACACAATCAAGTCCGGAGAAGCCTGGCAACGACTCCCTCACTCCTCACGCCATGTGGCTCCGCTGCCACGTGGTAAGTGGACAAAGACATCCACCAGGAGCCACGCCACTGCAGCCAGAGGGGGTCCCGCCTGCAGGTGTCTCAGGAGCCCCGCCCGGTGCCCATCCGGCTGGTTCTGGTGCTGGTGCTCTGAGCCGGCAGGTTCCGGAGCGGGCGGGGCGGATAATTGCCGCCTTGTGGACGCGTCTACCGCTTCGAGTCCTGCTTGCGGATGCAGACCTGTCTCCCCGGGGTCTCCTGTGGCATTTGTTACTTGGCATTTCGGTCCTTAAGCAGAAATTCTCTGCTTTCCACGGAATTGCTCTCCTTTGCTAATGTCTGTCTCCCCGGTCCCAGGCAGAGCGTTTGACATTTGTTATTGGTACAAGAGCATCATTTGCTGAGTGGGAGAAAAGGTTTCCCGAGGAGGGGGTGGGGGGTGACTGATGATCTCAGATCGTCTCCCGCTTCCCTCTTCCTCCAGCCACGACAGCAGCCGCAGCCCCCTGGGCCGCGCAGCAAGCACCGTGCTTTCTGCTGTGGAATGTGGCTGTGACCTCCCTGCTCTGGCTGTGGAGGGCCAACGGGTACGGGTTGTGGGGTGATAGCATGTGGTGAGGTCATGACCTTGCCTTACTGGGTGACGAGAGCCCTGCCAGGCTCTGGTCCTCCAGGAGCTCCGGTGCAGGGCTCTGCTCTCGGGGCGGAGTCACCAGCCAAAGGGAGCGTCCAGTCCCCGCTCTCAGGGGCTTCCTGTCCTCGGGGGAGCCTGGCTCACTCACACAGACCTGCGTCTGCAGCACAACTAAAGACGGGGCACTGGGAGAGCCCCGGGAAGAGAAGGGGCGTCAGGCTGAGGGCTGCCTCCCAAGGAGCTGCCTCTCCGCCAACTGCAGGATTCGCTCGGAGCAGGAGGGAGGCAGCTCCAGGCCGGGGCATCAGTACAAAGGATGCGCTGCAGGAGGAGGGACCCGGGGGGCGGGGGGGACCAGCCCTTGAACACAGGCCAGAGAGCACCCTCGGTCCCAAGGAGATGGGGTGGGGGAGCATGCGGGGGCCGGTGCCACAGCCACCACCGCCTCACCCCTGTTCCAGAGAGGCCCCTCGGAAGGGAAGCTGATGGGTGTGGAGTGGGGCTGGGACAGAGGAATGGCTCGGCCATCCATCCCCAGCCTGTACCTGTGAGCAGCGGCTCTGTGCCTGGGAGTGGGGGTGACACAGTGAGAAATTCCCACTGGCCCCCGTGAAATCACAGGCGGGAGGTGCAGAGTAGGGCTGGCCCATGCAGTAGCATGCCCACGCTGTGGCTGCCGCCGTGCGGTCAAGTTGACTCGAGACTGGTGAGTAGAGGGGCTGGGGGAGGGAAATTGGTCGCTGCATTGGCGTGGGCTGGGCGGCCTCCCTCCGCCTGCGCGCTCCCTCCGGGCCTGGCCCTCCAGCCTGCGAGCGGCTCCGGGTGTAAATCTTTCTGGAGAACTGCTTCTCCTGCGGGCACAGGAGCGGCCGCCCAGCCTGCCTGTGGTGAGATACGAGCTGGTCCCCGGAGCCCCAGCCGGTGCCCACGGCATGAATTGTGGGGCTCCCGGCTGCCGGCACCTTACTTATTTATTTGTTTGCTTTCGCATATTTTAATCTGATCGTTAAATCGCAATCTGCCACCCCTCTCCAGCCCCAGCCGTCTTCCCGTGGAGCAGATTTTTCATAGGTAACGACACCTATAAACTTCAGGGTGGCAGCTGCTGCGGCAAGCTGGGGGGGTAGGGGGGCGGGGTGCAGACACACAGGGCACCTGGGTGGGGCGGGTGCAGACACACAGGGCACCTGGGTGGGGCGGGTGCAGACACACAGGGCACCTGGGTGGGGCGGGTGCAGACACACAGGGCACCTGCAGGGCCTTGGCTCTGTCACCGTTGACCTCAGCAGCTCGAGTGGCCGGTTCTCCTGGCAGCATCTGTGGCCCCAGTAGCCTGAGGAGCAGGTGCTGGGAAGGCAGGGCAGCCCCCCACACTCCCTGGTTCTGGAAGTGTGCCTGCGGTAAAGGCTCCCAGCCCGGAGCTCACCTCGAACAGCATGGCTGGAACTGCCGGTTGAACTTGGGTCAGTTGAAAAAATATCCGCATATAAGTGAACCTGCACGGTTCAAACCTGTGCTGTTCAAGTGTCAACTGAAATCCAATTTAAAAAGAAATCAACCGCATGGCACCTGAGATCCGAAAGGGATCAGAAAGCCCCTGGCCCGCCCTCCTCCGCGGAGCTGGACACAGCTTGCCGGTCAGTGTGTGGGCTCCGCCCACTGACAGTGGTGACTGGTGGTTTCCAGCGAGAGAAAGGCTTTTCCTGAAAACCTGGTTTCTGAGCCCCCGGGGTGACCGGACCAAAGGGAAGCAGGACAGCACCGGGAAGTCCACCGTGGTATCAGGAGCTCCCTGCACCCTGCAGCGCAGACAGAGGGCCTGCACGCGGCTCCGGAGGGCTCTGGGCCGGGAAGCCTGTTCCCCAGCTCGGGCTGGACCCTCTGGAGGAAGTGACCAGCCTCTGAGCCGCAGGGCC